ACACTATGTATAACATTACTCTATGTATCCCAAATTCCCGCCTACAACCGTGTCACATCCGTCAGCAGTGTCCTTTATTATTTTTACGAATTTCCGCAGGGTTACCTTTTGGCAACAAGGGAACAATATTAACCACTACTACTCCGGTCAGAATCGTTTTTTTTTCGTTGCACACGCAGCAGTGTTCGGTATACACTGCCTGCAACTGAATTACCCTACAAGTATAATCTGACTATCCCACCTAAAACTGCACTCTACTCGCCTACCAGCGTTCAATATTGACTTGTTGTTGCTTATTATATTATTATGTTGTCGAGTATATTGTTGTTCGTTTATATTATGTGCCGCGTATAATTCGCACGACGGGATAACCGATCGGGGCGTCGTCGTACAAAAGGGTTTCGAAGATAGGCGATAAAAAAAAAAAAAAAAAAAACCAAACAAAACAAAAATAATAATAATAAAATAAAAACGAGCCTGGAAATTGGCCGCGGTCGCCGCAGCGGCACGCGCGCGAGAGTCCGCGACCGGCTGCAGGGACCGCGAACGACGACGACGGACCTAACCCCCTCGGACAACGACAGTCGACAATCAACCGCCGCCCGCGTGTGTAATCCCATTATAAACGATATAAAGAGACACATACACTATGCGGAGAGAGAGGCGTAGAGAAAACGGGGACATGCGCTTCGATTAAATCTTTATCCACTTAAATTTTCATTAACTAAAACTTATTCCCGGGACGACCGAGGCCGGGCAACCGCCGCCCTCGCGATCGTATCCACTCGTCCGGAAAAAAAAACGAAACGAAACGATTATATTAACCGTCGCAAATGGTCGCGTTCAGTATAACAATTATGTTGCGTATCGCGTTCGTGCGTCGCCCGAGGACCATTCCAAAATTCTATATAATAACGTGTACGTCCTGTATGCCGGCGAGAGACGATTAACGGCATTTTTAATTCCCGTCAATCCGTTTATGAGATATTCCACTTTTAAGCTTTTGGTCGAGGGAGAGTAGTGGACCATCATTTGTGTGGCAGCACTACGCGCGGCGTTTTAATAATACACTGCTAAAATTCTCCTCCGACCCAAATTTAAAAGTGAGATACATCGTCAACGGATTGACGAAAATTGAAAATGTCAACACCAAAATGTATTTTAACTCCGTCTATTTAAGGCGTTTTCAATTTGAAAATCAAAAGTGGGTAGTCGTTTCACCCTCAAAATTAAGGGTGACAAAAAAAAAAAAAAAACGATAATGTTACATTTTAGAACTATATGTTTTTTAAGTTTTAAAAACAGAAAAAAATTCAGAAATAGTGAATACTTTTCGAAATAATGAGTTTTTAACGATAAAAAACCAATCACAAGGTTATGGCGTAATAACGAGTGTCCGATCATTGATTATAGTAGTGTCATATAGTCCGTGACGTCTGATTATCACTGTTAGTACTAATTATTATTATTATTATCAAACATGTTAAATTAACATATGATCGTGAAATGTGTTATTTTTTTTAACTCTTATCAAATATTGTATTATTATAATTATTTAAATTATTAATAGTTTTTCTATATTATAGTTAAACATTGAAAATAGCAACGTCGCAGAGATCTCTACGCTCAACCGTGTGGGTGTTTTCTTTTGTATTCTGTTTCTCTCCTTTGATACGCCGACAAATTTGCTCAATCACGTCGTACAAATAAGTGTTTTATGCTCTATCGTGTCGTAACCGGAATAGATGTCAATCCCGGGCCAATCAAAATGTCCATTAATAATTCGTGTTATTATTATTTTATCTACCATACCGGAATAGTTTTGTTAATTATAGTAGGTGCCCACAACGATTAAATCGAATTTCGATGTAGCGCGCCGGTGTCGGCTCCGAGGAGGCCATGCGGCACTCTTACCCCCTGTCGGGCGTATTATAATTTTTTGAAAAAAACCAGCTGATACGGCCGAAGGATGTGCTGCTGTTTTCAGAGAGAAATCGGAAGGGAGCATTTGTAGAGTAATTTAATTTATATCTGTCCGTAACGGTCTCGATTGGAACGGGATTTATGGTAGAAAAGTTGTTTGCAGAAGCACGCACACAATAAAAAACACATTACAATAAAACCAATACAATCTTCGGTTCGCTAAGAATCTGAAAACAAATAATACATTAAATAAAGCATTATTTATCATAATATGATATATATATTATAGGGAAAAGGAAATAGGGACAACTGATTCGGCCGGCGGTGTACCTATATTAATATTTTTATACTACGGTAATCAATGATTACGTGTATATGCAAAACAGTAACTGGAAAATAATTTCCGTTAACGGTTAACTAAAAATATACGGTGTTCTAATTTTATTATGACGTTGCGTGGGCAATTTGATATAGACCAGCATGATACAAACACATTTCGGAAGGGGCGGGGAGGGGTTGAAGGTTTCCAAAACCCCTCTCGGGTATACGGTCTCGTCTTTGCCCGCGTATATAGGTACCTGATACCGCCGGCGAGGCGGCTGGAAATTATTTTGTCTAAAACGAACCGAACTGGTTTGTTCGGGTCGGTATTGAACGTCCCCGCGTATCCTCTGAATGTCTTGATCCTCCGGGCCCAGACCGACAGTTTGCAACTGAAATACGTAAATATTACAATAATGTTGTATTTGTGATTATAATTCTTCGCGAACCGGGCGAAAACGAATACGGAAACTGTCCATTCGCTCGAGTCTACAATATGTTGCGATAATAATATTGTTATTTTTCTCGGTGCGTGACGGTCAATCATGCGTGAGAGTTATAGTGTTTAGCGCATCGGGCCCACTCTGTATACACGCACAGCACACACACACACACACACACACACACACACACACACGTCAAAAACACAATAAAATATAATTGTTATAAACAAGCGCGGTCGCAACCGATTTGCACGACTCGATCGTTTGTCGATAAAACGACGCCATATTGCGCGAACAAAACGTGTATACGGTTTAGAATATATCCCCGTTTATATACCGTACAAGTTTCGACCCTCGTCCTGCGACACGTTAATACACGATATTATTATTGTTATCATTATTATCGTACAATTATATTGTATGTATGTGTACAGTTTTTAGACGTCACGCCGAGCAGTGTCTGAATCCCGGACAGCTACCCAACAACGACTACGACGGCGAGACGAGGTGCGTAGTGCGTTTATATTGTTGTGATAACAATACACTATTATAACACGTGGCCCGTCCGGCAAAAACGGGGTGGGTAATAATATGATGAATACAACACGGACAAAACAAAAGAAAAGTGTTATTATATACGGAGGATCGCATAAGCAAAAAAAACAAAAAAAACAGCAAAAAACGAGCAGCAGAGTCGAATTTTCCCCTCGCTGCAGACTTGTTGCCATTACAATGGCGTTTTGTGTTTTTCTTTTTGTACATATATGTATAAAGGCATCGAGAAAGTTTTGTGAAAATAGGTTAAGTATTTTTCGAGATACGGACTAACGGTGAGACCGGGGATTTGAAGTTCAAACCTTCTAAAGGTTATCTACATCTTCTACAAAAATTCTATTTATACAAATATTTTCTGTATTTTACAATATTTTAACCAAGCCACTTACTTTCGAGTGTCAGTAAGAATATTTAAAATCCGCCGATTCCAGTGAAAACTTAAAATTTGAGGATTAAATTGGTCAGAGAGGAGGTTGAAAATTGAAACCGCAAAAATGCATATTATTGATACCTAAACCGTACATATACAGAATTTTATTTCCCAGGCTTTATCGGGAGAGGGGGTCTGTAGGGGTGTAAAAAGATAAAAAAAAAACACCTTCCTCAACAACAATATGGTGAAATTCAACCAAAATTGTATCTTTTTAATCCGTCTATGTATAAAAAAAAACTATAATTTCCGAGTTTGAGTTCTTTTGGTCAAGAGAGAACTGAAAAATGTATCAGGGGGGGAATAAATATACATAAATATTATGTAGAGGATAAAATACAGTGTGATATCAAAAATTTAAAAGCCTCACATAGATTAAATATATAATAGCCTATTTAATCTATGCTTCAAGCGACTAAAGAAACATTTTAGGCAGTCATCATTCGAACGAATTCCGTTCGTATCTTTTTTTTTTTTTAACTATGTAAATAATTGTTTAAGTGTAATGCTTATTTTTTAATTCGTAGAATAAACCTACCAAATAACATTTTCGCTCTAAATCGGCTGAGATTAATTATTTTCTTTTATTCTCAAATGTTAATTATCCTGATAACTGGCTCGCTATGAGCATTTGTTAACAAGTGCAATAGCTTTTATTTTTGGGGATAATTCGATATTGTCCCCTATGCAACAAAGCGATCGCTTGCGTAATTTAATTTAGAATATAAGTACGCACCGTATCATATCATAATATGCATACTGATAACATAAGTAATAAAGTTAACCGTGGCATTATATATATATATAGACAATATTGTGGAGATTATCGTGGTTTTGGACCCTTGAACGATGCTAATATACTGCAGTAATGAATACGTTTTAAACGCCTCCGAGAAGAACGGCAGTGGGGGAAAATTAGGGAGATAAATATCCGCTCCAGAACTTTCTTAAGTATCTTTTAGTTTTACGGCTATACTCTTTTTTCAATTCGACTATCTTTACTTTTTAGCCGGAAAATTAATAAATACATTTTTTGTGTTGGACACCTATACATTTGTGTATACACGAAAAAAAAAATCGAACGTATAAAATATTTAAATCGCAACCTAAAAAGAAGCGGTCTAAAACTAGACCGCTTTCTTTTTATTTATTGATATTTTTTAACAGGGATATTATAATATTTCGACAATTATTGTGAACCATTGAAAATCAAACATGTACATTGGTAAAGCTTACGATACTAAATTTAGAGGCTAGAGAGGAGTATAAAATTAAGCGTATGCATAATTATACTTACGTTATTATCTGAAAGGGCGTTGATGAGGGAAATGTTGGAACCAAAAGTGGAAAAAAAGACTTTTGCTGAGTTTTTGAATAGAGAGAAATTTTCAATTCAGAAGTACATGTTGGAGCTCGCAGTAATCCCCAATGCAGTTGGGTAAGGGGCAATACGAGCAATTGTTGAGTTCTGAAACTATACCACTATACTATGGAAGAAGTCGGTACCCTAAATAGTAAATAAATCAATAGTTATTTGATTATTAAAGTTATTAAATTTTAAATAAATAACTTTCTATTAACACTAAGCTTGTGTGAAATTCCATTAAATAGGTACCGAGAAGTATTTGAACAATATTTTTCCGAACCTCAATGTAAACCATTTAACAGACAGGTAGATTTTGATAATTTGAGATGGACGAGCACATCTGCTCGTTTTAAATTTAAATTTAAATTTCACAGAAGAAATCAGAAATAAATTTCATGTACCAGAACATTAGAGTGGCTGGCGATGTTTGGTGATGATAGCACTCGTTTTGGTGACAATTTCGATATGCGTGTTCCCGAAAAAATCATTATAATGGGTAATAAACATCATAGAGGCACCAAATCAAATCCAAAGGAATTTATAAATGATTTAGTCATACCTCATCTAGCCATGGAAGAACATAACCGAGTTCAAACTCCACAGCAAAAAATTACCATGTCAAGACACTATTTCCTATCAGTATTGGACAACTTTAAAAACTCAGCGCAGACTACTGAGGAAACTAATTTCTACCCTAAAGTACTGAAGTTGCGCAGATTCCGAACAACGTGCAGTAAATTTATCACAATATAAGGTTTTTTAATACGAGTGTTAGCGAACCAATTTTCTCGACATTTTTCCAATTTTCTCGATGGAAGCGTGCAACGAAGACGGATGCCATGGACCCCGCGTGTACTGAAAACTAAAACGTTTTCCATTGTTATACGAGAAATTACTTTTTAGTTCGCTTTATAAGCACGTTTTAAATAATATTTTTTTTTACATTTCATAATATTGTTATAATCGTAATGTGCATTATATAATTTTTCGAACGACTTTAATTTGAACATCGATTAAAGTTTTGTACGGGAAGGTAAAAAAAAAAAAAATAAAATGCAGTTTTCGTGTCTGTATGTATATTATGCGGAAGTACAATCGTTGCAGTTTACGTTAAAACAGTATATGAACTCAAACGTCTCAAACTGTTATATCGGCTGCAAACGATAGGCCGGCGTTCCGCAAAAAGAGTGTATTATTAATAACGTGAACCAGTAGGTACCGAACGTCGTTCGAACAAAGTCGGGGGTTCACAGAGTGTGTGGTCGCCTTAGTTTGCCGGTGTACACACGGTACTGTAATGATATAATTATGACGGCGAAAAAATATATAGATACCTATATTTAATAACACAGCGAAAAAAAATGAAAACCGTGTAACGTCACGATACGTGAATGAAACCGCGCCGTACAGGGTACACCACGCAGGTAGTGTAGTGAGTGTAGTAGTCATAGTAGCTGTAGTTGTAGCAGTAGTAGTTGTGAGTATAGTAAATATAGTAGTAATTTTTACTTTTCATATGTACCTCCTGTTTCACCGCCTTCATTGATTAAAGGCCGAATCTCCGACGGCGGCGGTGTAGAAACAACCTCACAAGACGTCACACACCGACCCGCGGCGTTTGTACCTCGCCTATACTTATATTTATGTGTACCTGCGTGCGATAATCGTGTAAAAACAAACACGCCTTTATCGGAGATTAGAGGTATACGAGGAAGCCACTCGACGTCACCGTCGGCACTCGGAAATATAATTACAAGACAGGAGCCGATTTGTGTGCGTAGGACGATGCGGGGATTTTTTTTTTTTTTACATTTTCGTTAGTATTAATATTACAGGTACCGGTAACCCAGTAACCGGTGATCATGTTATTACGGTAGGATTCGATTTCGCTGGTTTTTTTTTTTTGTTTGTTAATATTACCCGAAAACGTTTAATCCGATTTTCGGCTGTACCGCTGGACGTTTCGAGAATATTATTATTTCTCTGTCCAATATATGTTGCATGCAACTATGAGTTACTATTTGCAAATCAACAAACGATAAAATATTATATATTCGGGATAACAATGTTATAAATATGGAAATGTGGCCTGTGAAGACACGGAAAATCGACTTATTTACACTCTGGAATCTCGATAGATCACAATTTAAAGAAAATGTATCTAGATTCTTACACACAGGGCTGAATTAAGGGTAGGGGGAGTGGAGATCAGGAAGAATCATAGTCCCGGGCCACAAGGCCAAGATGCCACAATGTTCGGCTCTTATTTTTCTTTTTCATTTTTTTTTTTCAGATTCTGAGTGTACCCAAAAGCTATTAGCTTTACAAAGAAGTGTTTTTTTATATCAACGCAAATTCTCCGATCTTTTCATGTCGTATCATAAAATATGCAGATTTTTAGACCAATGCGGTACTTTATTTGATAAATCAATCGAAATTTTTGGGAAATTCACCGCTTAGATCCGTTATGGTTGTTTCTTTTAAACTACAAGTATCTCGGTGGCTCGATCGATACATCATACAATAGAATACTGATATAACACGATGACTGTCGTCAAATAAAACTATCTTTTTCCGGTAAATGGGCTTAGCCAAGATTATATAGCAGTTCCTCTATTGACTATGACGTGATCCGGTTATGTTTACAATATTAGGCGTGATTTGGCGATGCAGTTTGTCGCATTGTTTGATTTACTTGGTTGCAATATCGCCAAAATATTTTCGTTATTGTGTCTACAGTATTTTACCAACGGATAACCTGCAGTAACTAAAAACAGCAGTAGTTATTGTAATTGTACGATAATTCCGGCAATCTGGATGTTAAAATGTTCATTTAGTTGTCAAACAATCGCAGTAAACAATATCACCAAAAACCAGTGTCGTACTCAAAATGTTCAACATGGGGTGGATAAATTAAAACAGTCTGTTCGCTAAATTAGCTACCGGATTGCTCAAATCTGTATCGCCAAAAAACGCTTACACCTTGTATTTTTATGTGAGGTATGTATATAATATGTATATTATTTACTAGCTGTATTACCCGGCTTCACCCGTGGACAGTTTTGTAACGTAAAATATTTTTAATATTATTTATATTTCACTTGGATTTTTTTCTTTCATCCATGTTACTATGGTAATCCATAAATCTATAACAATAAATCTCATCCGTGTTACAAGGGCCGGCGTTACGATTTCCGAGGAGGCCCCGGATAAGTTTATTTTTGTGAGACCTTTTTTTTTTTCGACGTACCACTCCTTTCACCTAATAGCTGTAATAATACTCTACACTTGGTCACGATTGGAAATATTGTTTAATAAGACAACTTTCGTGTAAGTGTTTTCTCAAAAACATCGTTATATTTATAAAAAAATTATTTTTCCAATTTTACACCCATAATTGTGCTATCTTTTTTATGGGTCTAGAAGCGCGGGGCCTCTGAAAGCGCGAGGCCCTGGACGTAAGCCTCACTTGCCCTACTCTAACGGCAACCTTGCGTGTGACTGTGGTAAACTATAACAAATATATAAATAATACCTTTATATACTTTTATGTGCGTTTTACTTTTAAATAATTGTAATAATCATAATTATAGTAGTTTTTTTTTTCCAAGGCAACCAAATTATCATCCATAACATCAAGATAACCCTTGAATAAACAAAATTGAATAAACAAACAATTAAATATTCGTACCGAATATACCTAAAAACCTCTATTTTATCTCCTTAGGGGTTGAATTTTCATAAATCCTTTTTTAGTAGACGTCTACATCATAATAGCTATCTGTGTGCGAAATTAAAAATCATTTAAATGAAAAAACTCATGAGAAAATCGAAAAATGACCTCCCTAAAGTACCTCATTATATCAATTTCCTTTTAGAAAAGATGCTACACATAAAAATCGGAGTAAGATCTTTGGTAGATGAGTTGTTCACAGAAAAAAAATATATAAATATTTTTGTAAAACCACATAACCATATTTTGTTCGCTCCACTCAGAATCTAAAATATTACGCCTTTCTTTTTTCCTGTGAACATTTTTTCTATCAGCAATTTGGCTCCAATTTACAATGATAGCATTTTTTCTGAAAGTAAATCTGACTGGGAAGGTACTTTAAGTAGGTAATTTTCGATTTTCCTATACGTTTTTCTTTTGACCAACGAGGTTTTCAGAAGTAAACGGAATTTGTTTCGACTTGTCGCGGTTCTACTGTTCAGGTACTTGTATAATGTTCGAAGACTCGTATGATGAAAACACGAAAACGCCACACTGCTCGAACGATTAGACTTTTCGATATTAAACGAAACATACACTCGACCGTTTTAACAAAATAATATTGGTGCTGTTAACCGATCGTTTACATGTAGGTTGGTATAATGTGTTCCCGGACACGTTGCAATATAACTGTGATATTCTATCACGTCGAAAACCATCGGGAAAAATAAGAGAACAAACGTACGATCTCGACGAAATCTATTATGTACTATACGGCCAGTCGTAAAACTTCAAAATTATTGACGAGAAGAGGCCTCCGTGTGAGGTTATATAGTCCGTAATATTATATTATACGGGTGAAAACAACATGCCCGACGGTTGTATAATAATCTACGTGTATAAAATTAAACGCCTCCTCCGTGAAATTCAATAAAACCGTATTGTATAGGCTCCGGCAGCCTCGGTAAGTATTGTTAAACAATAATCATTACGTTGTTTAAATACCCGGGGTACGTCAGTGTTCCGTCGTCGATTATCGCGTGTAATACACTGTACCGGGGCAGTGCGCGCGACCATTAAACGCCGCGGTTGATTATATTATTAAAAAAAAAAAAAAAACGATATTAATATCATTTTTTCGGTTTTGTTTTTTTATTTTTATTGTCTTAAGCGCATTAGCGTCGCGCTCGCCCGGTAAGTGGTTTTTCGAACCGGTGTAAGTACAGAACGGTTTTAGGCCCCGCCGGGTTTTTATTACTTTCGATTGGCGCCCCAAGCCGGTGGCGCCGCCGCGCCGTGCAATAATATAAGCATTCTGTTATCCGTATCGGCACTTTGTAGCATCGTTCGTTTGCGATTGGTCCGTTTGAATCGTGCGCGTTCTGAAATGTCATGTCTAGGGTGCGCATTTAAACGTTTTAAAAAACAATAAAAATGCCTTAAAAATAATACAATTAATACACTTAAATAAAAAAAAAAAAGGCCTTAAAAAAATGATATATAAATTTACTGAATACAAAAGTGCACATAGTGCAATACAACTACGTTACAACTCGATAAATAACTTATCGTTTTCTTTATTGCAGCGGGCATCGTATTCATCTGCAGGTATACAATCTATATCTAATACATTTTAAAAACAAAAATATTAATTTTTCTCTTTTAGGAGGAATAAAAATAAATGCAATAAACGATTAGCCACGATCGGTTTAAACTTTCAGTAATTCCACATGTAGTGCATAAATTATATTATTTATAGATAGGTATCAGACGGATTTCAACGAACGTGAATAATTCGTGTGACCGATCGGTCGGTAATATTCGGCCAGCATCGCATTTTGACTGCAGCAGCAGCAGCTCTCCACACGAACAAAATTCAATTTAAATGAATTATTGATATACTTTCAATGTGCGTTTTTATATAATATGTTCCAAAACTATATATACAGGGTGTTCACGATGATCGGACACTAGAAATAAATTTTGTTCTAATTAAATATATTTTTTTAAGTAACCAGTACGCCTCTAGAGTTGATATATTAAACATTTTTTTTTTTTGACGGGGAAACTTAATATACAAAATTCGAACATTTACTATAATTTAGATATAGACATTTATTTTCTAAAATTGTTTGAAGTTTTTACAA